ATCCCTGCAGCTATCCTCTCTTACGTAATGCCCCCACTCCTCACCTCAAGTCAAGATGTGTATCTTTATTGCGGCCAAAGACCAGCACGAAATAAAACTATACATGCATATGCACAAAACTATTCCATATACAGTGAGAAAGGAGAAATCTTACAATTAACTGAGCATTCATCAGCAATCAGCCGGCTGCCCATTTTACCTACGGCCGAGCAGCATTTAGCTACAACTAGGGTCACAGAGTCATGGATCAGCTGCAAGTAAAAAATGGTAAGCAAAATTGATCGGCTTTACCAAAACCAAGAGTACACTTGGAGTTACCAGTTCTGACTGTGTGCTAGTGTGAAATGGAGAATATAATAACCTGTGTTTCAACATCTGCAAAATTGCAACCCAATGGTGATGGTTTTCCAGCTACTTTCTAGTCTGCATCAAGTCAAGACCGTAGGGATTGTAACTTGACTTAAGTATCTAGCACAGGGGTTTTCCAACCTTGGCAATTTTAAGATCCTTGGACTTCAACTCTCAGAATTCCCCAGCCAACATTGAACTCCACAAGTTTAAGACTTGTGGAGTTCAATGTTGGCTGGGGAATTCTGAGAGTTGCCAAGGTTGAACACCCCTGATCCAGCAGATCTAAGGAGGCTGAACCTGCCTAGGGCTTCCCCAATCTCCATCATGACTCTGAAGCCACAACACGTGTTACTTGAGAAAGCAAATCCAGTAGAAACTTCTGAACAGGTCTTTTCATCTATTGCATATTTCAGGCCCTGAAAGAATGATCTGTGATTCTCAACAAGAGAGGGTCAACCTATTCTCCAAAGCACCTGAAGGTAGGAGAAGAAGCAACGGATGGAAACTGATCAAGGAGAGAAGCAACCTAGAACTAAGGAGAAACTTCCTGACAGTTAGAACAATTAACCAGTAGAACCTCTGGCCTCCAGAAGTTGTGCATGCTCCATCACTTGAGGTTTTTAAGAGAGTGGACAGCCACTTGTCTGAAATGGTATAGGGTCTCCTGCTTGAGCAGGGGGTTGGACTAGAAGACCTCCAAGGTCCCTTCCAACTCTGTTATTCTGCTCTGTTCTATTCCAAGATTGTGCTGACACACCATCATCTGCAGGTTGTCTTGTGGTTTTTAAATGGAACTCTCAGAAAGTTACTAGTTTGATTCAATGGCATCTAGGTAGAACTGGAATGAAGGTGTAACGGTGATTTACCAGGCAGATAATGGCTTCTATTATCATTCTGAGCAACAGTGTTAGAAAGAAATATTGCCCAGGGCACACCTATCTTGGAATCCTGAACTTTTTTTCTCATTAACTGGAGAGCATCGAGTGCTTACAAGTAAATAATAGTTCTCGGTGAATTTCTTGTGAGGCAAAAGGCAATATACAACTAGAAGAAATAACAAAAGAACAAACGTATATAGAAATTAACCAGTAATTCATTCTTGCACACCCTACCTAGTCGGCAGATAACTGACCATAAATAAGAGCAATAACCTGATTGTGCTATTTTTAAATACCTTGCCTTGGGTGAATTCAGGGCTCTAAAAAAAAGGGAGAGAAATAAAGATATTCAGAATGTAACTCTGTACAGTACTTTTCTTTCTGTATTAGTTGAAACAGGTGCTAACAATTCTCCAAGAGGATTTTGCAAAAGCTTGAGGGGGGGGGGAGAATATCACTGGCATTTAACTGGAGTTACAACCATGGAAATCCGGTTTTATTTCTCCACCAAAGAGAAGCTGCATGTCTGTTTGCTTTCCCTAAGGAGCCAGCATGACTTTGAAGTTTTATACAGTCGTGGCAACCTGCAATTTGCTGGCGCGTGAACTGCACTATCACATTCTTTCATTCCATTTGCACACCTCCTTCTCTTTCTTCTTCTTTCCTGGCAGTTTCTTAATCCACCCAACACACTCACATGCACATAGTTCGACATGAATTAATTGGGCCCTTAATGCCTTTTGCAAGCACCCTGGTTTAATTATTATCTTTTTTTTATAACCTCTGGGCTTAAGTAGCCACTGCAATTTCTCACTCTCCTGTTTGTCAGCCGTGGGCATTCCTGACTCCGATTTTCAAGGAAAAGCACCTGAGAAAGAAGGGAAGGGAACAAACACCTGTGGAAGGACTCTTTGGATGACACAGGCACAAGACCGACCACAGTAAGTGACATTTTTAGCTCCCTGCTAAAGGACAGGGGATTAGGTATGAGCTGTCCTCAACAGTCCCCCGAATTGTGATCAAAGGCTTTTGAGCTCAAAGTGGATTTTTCTTTAAAAGAGACTTATTACCTGTAAAAAGGAATTAAGATTTATTAGGATCGTCATGGGACTTTGTGGTTAAATTTCTACCTGCCATTCAGCGGGTCAGAGAACTTCAACCCTCTGAACACTTGTTCAGGAATAAGAATCATGCAACGGACGCATCTTCTAGTTAGTAGGTAGGCGGAATACAGATAGTCCTTGACTTATAGACATAATCGAGCCCAACATTTATGTTGCTAAGCGAGACAGTCGCTAACTGAATGTTGCCCTATTTTACGACCTTGCTTGCCGCAGTTATTAAATGAACCACTGCAGCTACTAAGTTAGTAAGCCGGTTATTAAGTGAATCTGTCTTCCCCATTGACTTTGCTGATCAGAAAGTTGCACAAGGGGATCACGTGACCCTTTACGACCATGCAACCGTCATAAATGTGAGTCAGTTGTCAAGTGTTTGAGTTTTGATCACGTGACCATGGAGGGAGGGTGCTGCAACAGTCGTAAGTGTGAAAAATGGTCATAGGTTCACTTTTTTTCAGTGCCGTTGTAACTTCGAAATGTCACTAAATGAGCTGTTTTTAAGTCAAGGACTACGTGTATCCACACATCTTCTTCTAGCTCAGCATTTTAGAATGTTTTCATCTATTTGGAGTGCAGACAAGGCACTTCTGATGGTGAAACTACAAATAAAAACAAACATAAGTTTGTTTCAGGTAATCAGTATAAAATATAGCGAACAAAAAAAACACAGTAAAGCAACAAAAACTTTTTTGGCAAAGAATATATTTAGAAAAACTCAAGTTAAATATTAAAACGCATAAATATTTGTGTTAGATTGTGGATGTGTGGGGTGGTGGCGATGAAACAATCCATTTGTCATGGAAAGGGCGTTGGCTAATGAGACAATGGTTATGGTCATACCTGAAGCAACGATGTCCAGAACTCTCAATTTTCTTATAGTTTTCTTTCTATCTATATTTCTTACATACTTTTCCCTAATAATTTAAATTTCCTTCCATCCAAAGCCTTCCTACTTACCCAAACTTAGAAATCACCTATTTTAAGATTAATATTCAGAAAACTGTAACTGAAGAAATTGTTGGAGACTGGATCAAAAATCTTGAAAGTCATGTCTAGACCACTTGAGTATCCAATATTTGGTGATAATTGAAGATTGGCACTAAGGTTCCCTACTGTTTTCATGCCAGATTTCCACGAAAGCACATGAACAAAAGTTTTGGATTTAGCTCTAAAAAGTTGCTTTGAATTATGAATGTTGAAGTTCTCAATGGTTTATTAAAGCAGCTATGTACATTTCCAGGAGCAACAAAGGATTCTGAAAGCAGATCTGGCTGCTTTAATGAATCGCCAAAGGGGCCCACTATTTTTCAAGTATGGTTGTTTCCATTGTGAGTGTTCAAGTGTGGTCCATTTATATTCTGAGACAAGAGATTCCCAGTTAATCCTGATTGTATTGACTGTGGCGGGATACAAATGTAAAAAAGAAAGAAATTCCCCGGATTATATTCTATGGCATTGCTCAAGAAAATAATATAGTAAGAAAGCATATATATTAATGTGACTAAAGTGGAGGAAATAAGGAGAACTTAGGGAAAAAAGGGGAAAAAAAGATCCAAATAATGTAAAATTAGTTCTGTCCTTAGGCTTGTAATTGAATCTTGGCCATAGAGGAACAAACTGTTCCATCTTCTCATCTCTGGAATATAAAGACATTTTTAAAAAGGGTATATGTGTTGAATTCATTCTTTAACACGAGGAGTACCCATTTCCCTCCATCTATGTAAAATAATTCTCTTCGCTGAGCCCCAGGCTTAGATAAAGGCAAAGTGCTTCATAAAATGTCACATTCCTTTCTAAAATGTGGATTATGACATTTGACATTTCAATGCTTGTGACTTCTGGTCCCTGCTGAATAGAACAGATTTTAAAACAACAACAACTATGAGTTGTTGTTTTTTTTAGAAAGCATGCCATACAGATTAAAACATAAAACCACCCATAAAATTTACAGCATAAAAAACAAACAAGCGACAAATGAAAATAATCAGGTGAATGCTTTCTAGTAAATTATCCAATAAGCAGCGTCCATGAACCACAATAAACCGCTTCATGGTGAACTTCCTTCTCATCTGATGGGATCCGTTCTATAAGTCATGCCTTGTCCTCAAGAAGAAAACAGCAACCTGCAAATTCCAAAGTTCAGATGCTTCAAGGATGGTGACCTGACTTACGTGTTGAATTGTGGTTACACAGTTCACATTACTGAAACATCTTTCCTGAAGCACATTGAAGTAATAAATTATGGTAAAAGCAGATCAGTTTTTGCCAGACAATTTTCTGATGTAAACATTAAGAGACTGAGATTAACTAATATTTGTGTTTTCGTTTTATCGTGATCTTCCATTCTTTGCTCCGGTTTGTCAGCTAGCTTAGCAGGTACCGTAATGCAGGGGGAAAAAAAAAGAACAGGGCTCTATTTTATTGGGTTTTAATACAGGGAGTCCTCGACTGACGACCACAATTGAGCCCCAAAATTTGGATCCTTGTGAACTTGGAGTCTGCAACTGCTGTACTCCATCCATCCGCTGGTAATTACTTAGTTTTCATCATGTAACTAGGCTGCTTGTCTTCATTTGATTAAAATCAAAGGACTGGAGGGAGCAAACTAATTATAATGTAGCATCTAGATAACATTTGGTATCAGTGTGATTATTGTTAACGTTTGTGTTGTTTGCAGAGATTGCTGATATTAGCAGGTTTGTCAACCCTAAGAAAGCTGATGGAGAACGTAAGACACAGGAAACAAAGTTCAATCCAGGCTCTTGATGACCTGTCTGTTACAAGCAAGAAACCTAAATCCATGAACTTACAGAAAGAGGCAAGATTTGTATCATGTATTCTTTTAAAGTCATTTACAGATCAAGTTCAATTTTTCTCCTTGGTTGCAACACTGTAGGTACAATATCTCCTTTATTGATTTTTGCAGATAATAGCACAATGCTGTTCTAGTTTCCTTCCATATCAATGAGAGATTCCAGGTATAGCATTTTCCCACCTGAGGTTCAAATTGGACCCCCCAAAAAACAACAACAGGAGAGGCTTAACATCTTTCCATGAGGTCTGGTACAGAAGGAGGAGGCAAGCAAAGAGCATCCATTAGAGCAGCGGTTCTCAGCCTGTGGGTCATGACCCCTTTGGGGGTCGAACGACCCTTTCACAGGGGTCGCCTAAGACCATCGGAAAACACATATTTCCGATGGTCTTAGGAACCGAGACACCGCTCCTCTATCCGTCTCCGCACGGCTTCAAGCTGGGGGCCGTTGCAGCGCCGGATTCGTTTCTGTCGAGCATCTCCTAAGGGAGGCTGCGCTGCTTCGCGGCCCTTTCTGCGGAGGAGGCTGAACTAAGCTCTGTTGGCGCTGTCGCCCTCTTGGCTCTCTCTCTCTCTCCCTCTCCCCGCCTGGGTGCTTCTCCAACCAGGCTGGGCGGAGCTGGTGGAGCGGCCTTCCTGCCCCCCCTCCCCGGCCAGCTGGAGCTGGGCAGGCCGGCGACCTTCGGAAGTGAGGCAAGGACAGGCGAGGCACGCTGAGCCCCGGGCGCGGCAGATGAGTGGGCAGCGTCGATGCGCGCTTGGAGAGCCCTTAGGGTTGGGGGTCACCACAACATGAACTGTATTAAAGGGTCGCGGCATTAGGAAGGTTGAGAACCACTGAGTGATCACAAGAGCTTTGCTGAGTTACACCATAGGCTCATCCACTAGTCATAGTGTCTTGGTCATCCATATGGATTCTGAAAGGTGACAACCCTTTTCCACTTTTGTTAAGCCTCGTTGGGAGGATAACCAAACAATATCTTCTTTCTCCCTGCCTGTAATGCCAGCATTTGATTCACATCACACATGAAAGAAGAAATCATATACTACCAGGTGAACATTCCATTTCTATAGTGCCAAAAGAGCAAGCCAAGCACTCCCCCCCCCGTCTCCGTGTTAACACGTTAATTAGTAGGAAGGTGGTGGCTGAATAGGTTACCAAAGTTCACAAGAACTTTTTAAAATCTTCTGCTGTCAGGAATGTTGGGTTAATGTTTGCATGGCGGCCCAAGCTGTTAATTTGTATTGTTGACAGGGACAGGAGTCTGATTTATGCATGAGTTTTCTCTGTCTAATTATTTTGTGGGTTTGGGTATCAGAAAAAGATAGATAAAGCACAGGGCATTGGTTACATCACATTCCTTCCTTATCCATAAAAGAAAGTGGCTTGGTTTTGCCAAGAATTGAAACAATACCTTTCACATAAATAGTTGGTCCTAGAACAGATAGGGAAAGAACTGATCTACTTTACCAGCAGAAACAAATTTGGTTGAAGGTAAATTAGCTAACCACATATTTGATCCTGGAAATATGGAATGAATTTGCTTTTCTTTTTGAACACTTAGAGAATCTTAATTATATGTCAGAAGGCTAAAAATCTTCTGGAGAAGATTCCTTCAGAATTCCCACTTACTGTTTCTGATGATTGGGAACCCATCCAGATATGCCAACACATCTAGAACAAAAGAGATTAGAAAAGCAGTTTTAGAACCATTTAGTTCAAAGTAGATAAAGAGTCCTACTAGATTAGGCCAAAGATAGACCTAACACAGGCATTTTCTTTCCAAACAAGCCAATGAAATGTTTCCAGACCACTTCTAGGTACAGCAGCCATTATTATCTATGAATGCTCAATGTATGGGATGCTTTAATTCAGACTGATGCACTGAGCAGGAAGTTGGGTTGACCTCTTACAACTGGCCAAGCCTCATTAGTCATTCCTCCCCCAAACAAAGCTAGATGTAAAGTGGAGGAAAAGAACGAAGTTCTCCATTACCAAAGCCACCCCTGAAACATGGCGATGCAGCAACCTGCCTCTCAAACATCGATTGGATGTTATACCCAAGCCACACCCACTCTTCCTGCCTGACCAGTGAGAAGGAGTCATTGATCTTAAGAAACCTCACTGGTACTCCCCTGGTATAAAAGCTTTTGAGATACCCAACAGACTGGGAGAAAATGGTTGTTAAAGCTATATCCCCCAAAGTGGGACCTTTGCTTTCAATTAATTTGCAGTCAGATACAATACTAAAGCATTACAATTGAGTTAGCGGATGGATTAGCGTGATTGGTGACAATATCTGTACAAAACCCTCCGTATCCTACTATGCCTGATCCCCAATGATTGGCTGAAGTCAAAATGAGCTTTCCAGATTGAAAAGTTCTTATGTTTGGAACCCAGGTGAGTCTTTGGAAATCACGTTGACTTCCAGAATGCTACTTGGAGTTCCTTGTCGTAGGAATGAAGGCCAGAGAGAAACAGCAGCACAGACTAACCATCTTGTTTATTATTGTCTCTTGTATTGCATTGTACTGTAGTCAAATGTTGCAAGTGTGTAAGATTCACAGAGATGCATAGAGAAAAATAATGGTTATTCCTCGGGTTTTTTCCCCATCTAACTATTGCTTTACTACCCCTGCAGGTCCACTTCTGACGATATCATATAAACAATGCTTGGCTAACGAAACTGTCTCAAATTTATTTGCTTTCTTTCTTTTTTTCCTCTCCCTTTTTAGGTGGGTCTAATCAGTGGAATATGTGTCATCGTCGGAACTGTGATCGGATCTGGCATTTTTATTTCTCCAAAGTCTGTTCTGATTAATGTTGGAGCGATTGGACCTTGCTTGATTATCTGGGCGGCCTGTGGAGTGTTGGCCACCTTAGGTAAATTGTTTCTCGTGCTCTCCATTTCTTTCTGTACAGAATCATCTCTAGCCAGAAGGCTCACTAACAGCTCCAAGATACTTCTAGTCTTTCAGCTCTTTTTCCCTCTTTTACAATTTATTTGCTATATGGACAAAGAATAAGATGTAGCAGCAATCATCTCTGTATGTTTTTTCTTCTTCTTCTTGATCATGGTTTGAATCGTTTACAAAAAAAAAAACCCAAGCCAGTAGCCAAAAAAAATAAAAATAAAAAATGAGATAAGTAAATTGTGGAGATCTTGCCAGGATACTTGAAAAATCTGGATTAATTCTCAACCCATTCATTTATTATTTCCACAAATCCAGCTCTGGATATCATATATTGGGTCCTCCTGAAATATTCCCACAGGAAAATGTTGACAAAGACAATTTTGGGAAATTTCAAGTTACACATATTTTGTATAGCTAAAATGGCTACTAATTCTAAGATATATGTTTAATAGTAATGAGGAAAATTAAAATGACAGTATACAGTTTGAATTTTTTTAAAGAATACAGCATATATTTAGGGAAATATATATATATATATATAGGTTAGGTTATGATATCTGAAAACTAGCTTAAGGATGGCTAAGAAAGCCAAGCAAAGCTTCCTTTTCACACCCTATCTTCCGTTGCTCTGTTGTGATGGAATACAAATTTGACATTTGCCTTCCCAACCTTCACGAACTGGCTGATGGGTTACGGAAAGGTGGCTTATCACATTAACCTATTTGATCGCTCTTGTGGTGTCTGTTTCTCTGCTGTAAGTCTTGCTTCGCTCAGTCAAGAGAGAGCTGCTTACTTCTGGTGGTGGGGTGCAATGGTTACAGTGGCAGAGTTAGCAATGGGGAAATTTCTGCTGACGTTCTGCTCATCATCTGCAGGTACCTTCAGGGTATGGTGGCCATGAGGGTACAGTTGAAATTCCATCTGTTGATCATGTGTCTCACATGCGTGGGAAAAGGTACATTGGCCCCATTGTGGAGCCAAATGTACTTTGTTGGCCACCTAGGATTCCTTAAATACGTGGAAAGCTATATAAATGTGATCGATAAATAAATAAAACTTCCCGTTCTGCCTCGGTATTAATGGCGAAACTCCACTTTCAGGGGCCCTTTGCTTTGCTGAACTCGGCACAACGATAACCAAATCGGGAGCAGAATATCCTTACCTGTTGGAAGCCTTTGGGTCCATTCCTGCCTTCTTGTTTTCCTGGTCTAGTCTCATGGTCATCAAGCCCAGCGCCTTCGCCATTATCTGCCTCACTTTCGCCGAGTATGTGTCGGCTCCATTTTACCCAGGATGTGAGCCTCCCGTGGCGGTCATTAAGTGCCTGGCTACAGCAGCCATTGGTGAGTCTTTGATCTTAAGGGAGGGAAACCAAGTTAGGGATGGAAGCGGAGGTGGATCTGGAAGAGAATGGAAGAAGATCCCCCCTGCCTATGTTACCCATTTGAAAAGAGATTATGGCTCTCTAGATCAGGGGTGCTCAACCTTGGCAACTTTAAGACTTGTGGACTTCAACTCCCAGAATTCCTCAGCCAGCAAAGCTGGGAGTTGAAGTCCACAAGTCTTAAAGTTGCCAAAGTTGTGGACCCCTGCTCTAGATGATATAATTGAGCCAGCTTGGTCTAACGGTTAAGGCACCAGGCTAGAAAGCAGGGGGCGGTGAGTTCAAGTCTCGCCTTAGCTGTGAAGCCATCTTGACTTGGGGCCAGTCATTCTCTCTCGTAGCCCAATCCACCTCACAGGGTTATTGTTGTGGGGAAAATAAGAGGAGGATGGTTGTGTTGGCTCTGTTTTTCGCCTCGAGTTATTTGTAAAAAGGATAAAGATGGGATAAATAAATAAATGTCATTTAGGTTGATTTCCCATCCTAGTGAAGAAAATCGATGAACAAAGGGATGGGTTGGGAGACACGCTGTATGCAATAATTTTACCGTTCTGTCCTCTTTACAATTACAAATTGGTGGGCGTGTCTGGAAAGATCTGAACACCGTGCTTTTCTTCCTTAAAGAATATTTTGTGGTTAGAAAAACAAATATAGAAGAATGATGGCAAAACGTGGGAAGGTTTTAACGCAAGATGACGTTGACGTCTGGACCCTCCATAAAAGGCGACAAACAAAACAGAGCGATTGTACAATTCGTGCCTTCTCTGTCCGCATCTACCTTTTCAAGCTGGGCTAAGAAATAAAAGCGAGGAAAAAGCCAATGTTTTAAACGATCTTATCATCCTTTGTCTTGCAGTGGCCATTACAGTCTTGAATTCACTGAGTGTGAAATGGACAAGCTATGTTCAGAACATTTTAACTGCTACTAAAATGGTGATTGTCATAATTATCATTGTAAGTGGCATCGTTCTCCTGGCCAAAGGTATGTTGTTGTACGTTATAACCCCTTAAATGGTCAACAACCAAACTAAGTAGGTCTTCACAATGCAGGATTTCAAGCTAGCCTGGCCGTAGGGAATTTTTGGAGTAGAAATCCAGTAGATCTGGGGAATGCTACATGGAAATGATCCCCTGAATGACCCCCTCTTCTTTGTGGGAGCCCCTCAAATACTGGAATACTGCTATGAGGGCACCCCTAGTTCTTCTATTCTCTAGACTAGCCATACCCATCTCCTGCAACCGTTCTTCATATTGTGGATGCTCCATCACTGGAGGTTTTTAAGAAGAGACTAGACAGCCACTTGTCTCAAATTGTACAGGGTCTCCTACTTGAGCAAGGGGTTGGACTAGAAGACCTCAAGGTCCCTTCCAACTCTATTCTGATTGATTGATTGATTGATTGATTGATTGATTGAAAAAGGCTGAGCTAGACCTTGCACTCCATGCAAAGACTGGATTTATAGTCTAGTCTGGTCTGGTCTAATCTAGTCTTGTATACAGGTAGTTTTCAGTTTATGCCTATCAATTACAGTTGTAAGTCCCGATGGTCATAAAAAAGATCACCCATGTGATCAACCTGATTTTATTCCCTTTTTTGTGGCGGTTGTTAAGTGAACCCATTGTTTGCTATGGGATGTTTTTGCGAAAACCCAGAAGTAAATGCTGGTTTTTGGCAAAAAAAAATGTAAATCACAGTCATTTCAATACAGGACCCTGCAAAGGGCTGTAAATGTGGGCTGGATGCTGAATGCCCCAAATGAAGTCATGTGACCATGAGGGTGATCCTGGTTTTCGGAATTTTGGAACTGGGTTGTAAGTAACTTTTGTAACTTTCTGTTGTAATGTCAAATGTCACTAAGCAATCAATCATAAGCCAAGTGTATCACACTTTTCCTGGGAAAATGCTTGTTTCTTCAATTTCCTTGTAAATGAAGAAAAACACCTCATAACTGGTACTGAAACTTAAAATGGAAGAGTTCTTGTTGTGCATGCATGCGTGTGTATGTGTGTGAGAGAGAATGAGAGAATGAGAGAAAAAGAGAGACAGAATGAGAGAGATCCCTTCCCCTCTCCAACATAAACAATGGAAAACAC